CTCCCCATTGGCAACAAGCAAGCTGGTCTTTCCCTTGGACAGGTCGCCCTGATCTTCCTCGTTGATCTTATGGTCGCCCCGGTTACCCTTGCCCTGGATGATGTTGTCAAACTCATTCACGTTGTCCTCATTCTTTGGGACCACTATACAGTTACTGTACAGGAGCAGGCTCGAGAGATGCTGGTCCATCTCATCCATGAACTGATAGCGGCCAAGCTTGAAGATGATGCCCCGGCTGGCGCCCGGCAATCCGTCGAGGACTTTGTGGAGTCTATCCGCAAGAGTGACCCCGCCGTCGTGTGGGAGTATGAAGAGAATCATGGCAAGGATGAGGAATCCGATGATCGTCGGGTGCCTGCTTCTATGGCTACTGTTACTCGTGATGTTGTCACGTTCTTTAGCTTCGCCTATGAAGGCATTGGTGAATTATGGGCTAAGGAGGCTTTGAACTGGGCTACTTCTTGCCCCGTGAGACATTTGGCATGCCGTTCGTTCCAGGTTTTCCGCTGCATTTCGACGTCTTTGGATTCGAGGATGTTGGCGGATATGCTGGCTCGGCTTTCGAATACTATTGCTGATGAGGAGACCGATTATCAGACTTTCTCGATGGAAATCCTCACCACCTTGAAGATCATTATCAGCTCATTGAATCCATCGGACTTGTTGAATTATCCTCAGCTGTTCTGGACTACGTGTGCTTGTCTCAACACAATTCATGAAACGGAGTTTATTGAGAGTATTGGCATGCTTGACAAATTCCTTTCTCGAGTCGATCTCAGCGATCCGGCTGTCGTGACCACGTTGATTGAAGGCCAGCCACCGAAGTGGGAGGGCGGATTCGATGGTCTCCAGGACCTTGTTTTCAAGGGAATGAAATCATCTGAGTCCTTTGATCGCACCCTTGATCTGCTGCATACTCTGAGCGGCCTTCCAAACAATGATCTCATTGGAGACGGAACTCGACAATTGTTTACAGTGCTGGCTAACCTACCTCACTTCCTCCAATGCTTCGAGCAAGGTTTCACCGACCAAAAAGCTATCACTCGTGCCAGCCTACTTGCCCGCGTGGCCGAGAATGAGCGATGCCCTCGACTCGCAGCGTCATTGTTTGGTTTCGCGAATCAGCAGTACAAGACCGCTGGTGTCTTCTTGGATCATATCATCACTGAGATCAAGTCGTACTACTTCCCGCAACTGGATTTCCAGTGCTTGATCTTCCTCATGGGCCTTCTGACCAACACTACTGATTGGTTCCGCGTCAAAACCATGAGGATTCTTTGTGTCTTGATTCCTGAGGTGGACATGCGCCGGAATGAGGTCACTTGTCATGGCCCGGATCTGATTTCCCCGCTGCTTCGTCTTTTGCAAACAGACCTCTGTCCCCAGGCTTTGGAGGTTCTGGACCACATCATCACCGTCTCAGGCAATCCAATGGAGCGCCACCATCTTCGCATGAGTATGGCGTCAGCAAGCTCTTCTCGCGCCATTCGTAAGGAGTACGAGCGGATCCAGAGTCTTTACGGCATCCCTGAACCCTCGGGGTGGTCCGTCCCTATGCCTGCGACTCAGTCAAGCATGACCCGGAACAATGTCCACGCCGTCTTCTACACCTGTGTGGAAGCCGATGATATGCACGCTGAGAACGTCATGGCTTCTGAAGTGGCATTCCATGCTGATGAATTCAGCGACTCGTTCTTCCCAATGAGAGCTGATACCATGAAGTCAATCGACACACAGACCGATGGCAACATCGGAGACATCGTGCAGAAGCTGGACAGTCTGGATGACTTCTTCGACGAGACCGACCCAGGTACCCCTGTCATGAACCCCGTGGCTCCGCCAATGCTGCGAGGATTTACTGGAAGCTACGTCGACACCAACGCGCACCTCTACGACCAGCAGACCGCGCCAATCTTGCGAAAATCCCTCGCTCGGACAGGTTCTACGTCGTCTTTCCACAATGGTCTAGCTGAGTCTCGACCGCCTAACTTCCGCTTCGATGGACCTGCCGTGTATTCCCCAGCAACCACCACACCTCCAAATGCTGCGCAGATGCTGCGTCCAGTGTCTCACCACACCCGCTCCGTCACCTCTCCCGCCAACAATCTCTACGTCCACACCACCAATGCACCTAATTCCACGCCAAACGTGGGACTAACCGACTCTGCTTTCATGTCTGATGACGAGCCAGACGAGGAGCATTCGGATCTTGACGAACGCCCAGTAACCACAACCACCAAGCTAGCACCTCCTCCACCTATGGTCCGCAGCGCAACCGACGGTCCCCATTCCCTCGAATCAATGATTCGCAGCGGCATGCGGCGACTAACGGGCGGCGCAGCTTCCAACAGGGAGAAAGAGCGGCAGCGTGACCTCCTACGTGCTCAACACCGTGCTATTGTACAGACGGCCAATTCACCGCGCGTTCCTAAGGTTCCTGAGGAGTATCTCTCGGCACCAACCAGTCACCCGGCATCGCCGAGGTAAATACCAAACACTGAATATTCAACACTAGCGTTCAGTTTCTTGTTTTGGTTCGTTTCCTTCCCTCTTTTTGTTTTTCATTTCGGCTTTCGGTCTTTCCGGGATGTCTGGGCATTTCTCGGGAGTTTGCTTCTTTTTCTCACATACCATACCCTGTGCCTGTCCATCTACTTTGTAATTGGTCCTGTTTGTCTAGCGTTGATCTGCACATCCACATCCGCATTCTTGTATAGTATCATATCCTGGAAATCTTTCTCCATTGGGGGTGTTGGCATTTCGAATTCAATCAATCATCTTGATATATTTCTGCTCTACAATCCTTCAAGCGCAGCCCAGGATGTCTTGTCGTATGCATCTGAAAGGTGTTTTGGATGCTGAACTACCTCTTCACCATGTAAAATAAAGAGCCCACAAATTTCTATCATAACCAGCACGCATGGCTCTTTGTTGAAATTTGAATGGAGAATACGATGAATGATGCTAGGAAACTCTTGCCAAGAACCAACGAGGTGGTTTAAGTCTGATCTCTCTCTCCATGAGAGAGAGATCCTATTTAATGAGAAGCATTTCTCCTGAACTATACTCTACATGGTAGGTCAATGCTGATCATGAGCTTCATGCTTGGCGAAGCAGGCATTTCATGCCTGGAGATGCCTGGAGAGGCCATGAATCTCAACACTCTTTAAACATAGTATACCCCACACGTGACCCGCTTCCCCACGGCTTTCCTCCCCGGCCTCCCCCGCATTTCGACCTGTAATGATGCAGACTCACCTCTCACCCCCCCTGGCAGTCTCGGAAAGCCGCGGCGGAAACCTGTGGGTGTGGCATGGCATATCCTGGAACTTTTAAATACCCCTCCAACCCCGTTCAGCCTTCCCGAAGCTAACATTCCACACATGCTTGTTCCTTGGACTCGGCATTGTTGGCGCGAACATCATTTCCTACGCCTACTAAAAGTCACCACTTACCTCTCTTCGTCACATTCTAGAGGGCACAGGTAATACACCAAATACACCAAGCAATGAGTCTCCGAACAGCTCTGTCACTCCCACGGCGGGCCACTCTCTCTCATGCATCCGCAGTGGATCTCCGATGCTGGCCGTCCAGCTCGGCCCGAGCTTTCTCAACGACGGTCCACCGTGACGCAACGTGGGGCTTCGTCGGTCTAGGACAAATGGGTATGTGTTGATATCTACAGGAATTGCGAAACCTCGGATTGTGGGTGTTTGCATCGGACTTGTGCATTAACTGCGCTGCAGGATACCACATGGCCAAGAACCTGCGTGCCAAGATCCCGGCTTCCGATACTCTGATTGTGCGCGATATCAACGAAGACGCTATGAAACGCTTTGTTGCGGAGGCTCAAGAGGCTGCGCGCAGTACCGGCGCTGGCGCCGGTGAGGGTCTCGTTGAGATTGCTGAGAATGCGCGCGAGGTCGCTGAGAAATCGGTATGGCTTGTTCCTTATGCTAGCAACTGCGGATCTGGCCCGCTTTCATGCAGCAACTATCCCCCATATTTATACATGCATTGCCCAGTCTGCTAACTCTGTCTTCTGGTCATGTAGGAAGTGATGGTCACAAGCTTGCCCGAGTCTCAGCATGTCATTGAAGTGTTTCACTCTATTCTTAAACACGGCGAGCTTCCACCGCTCACACAAGAGCGTCTGTTCATCGACACATCCACCATTGACCCTGTCACGTCTAAGGACATTGCAAGCGCAATCCACACCACCCAAGCGGGCCGTTTCGTTGATGCCCCCGTATCGGGGGGTGTTGTTGGCGCTCGCGCAGGAACGCTGTCATTCATGTTCGGCGCCTCCTCCCAAACAGGACAGCTTCTTGAGCGCGTGCGCGGCGTGCTGTCCCTCATGGGCAAGAAAGCGTGGCATCTTGGTGACCCTGGTGCCGGTGTCTCTGGCAAACTAGCCAATAACTACATTCTGGCTTTAAACAACATCGCCACTGCTGAAGCTATGAACCTTGGTGTCCGATGGGGTCTGGAGCCCAAGGCTTTAGCTGAGATGATCAACTCTTCTACGGGCCGCTGCTGGCCTTCCGAGGTTAACAACCCAGTTCCTGGTGTTGTCGAGACGGCTCCTGCTTCCCGTGGTTATGAGGGTGGCTTTGGGGTCAGTCTAATGCACAAGGATCTACGGTTGGCCATCACAGCTGCGAAAGAGTCTGGTACTCCTCTTGTTTTGGGCGACAAGGCTCGTGAGGTATATAAAGCTGTTGAGGATGCGCACCGGGGTAAAGACTTCTCGGTGGTTTATAAGTGGCTGCAGGAGAAATCCGAATGAATTTCTCTATCTTGTGTATGCATTCATCCCCTTTGCCTGGTCATTCTGATTCCCCTTGTTACAATGCATCTTCGGCTGTCCTGTGTTATAGATGTGGCCTTTGATAGAAGCATTCTGTTCAATGACATTATTTCATGGTTTTCTACGATTTTCTTCCTTGATCCAGTCTCTGTCCAATGCCACAGACTGGAGGTTCATTTTCTCTTACACAATGGCGGTGATTTGGAACATCACCTCTGCCCCCGTAATTTCTTCCCCATCGCTCCTTCTTCTTCCTCCACCGCAATGGTTCCTGCACCTTGCCCTGTCCTGTATATCTCGTGACTGGCTTTGGCCTCGTCTTATTTATTTGCTCCTTCTCACCTCTCTTTCCATCCTATCCCCATCATCATATTCATTGTCCCTCCACTGGCTCTGTGCAGTTCATCTGTCCCATCATCAGCTTAACGTTTTCTAGACGTTCATTGTCTTTCAACTCTTCCCAACGCCCTGGATCATTGAGCCAGAGCGTCCTATCATCAGAGCACACCTTTCTGCCTGTGTCAGTCAACAAACAGGCCTAGTCCTGCACCGAAGGTAAGCTACTCCCCTTCCCACTCCCAGTCCCACTCCCCGTCTTTCCCAGGTTTCTGTCTGCGGTTGGTCTTGTTTTGTTGTTCTTTCCATCCAACGCTGGCTAACTTTGGACCGACACGGCTGGACAGGGCCAGACCTCATTTGTGTCAGGGCTTATATAGATTCGTGCAGGGAATCCAGGTGAGATTCCTTGTCACTGAGTCTATAGCCTCCAGACCTTTTGATCCATTGGAAAACTATAGAACCCCTGCGATGCCTCTTCATGTGCTCCCATGATCACAAGACCTGAAGAGTCCGCTAACATGGTCAATCTCTGTCAGCACAGACATGATGCCGTCCCAAGGCTCTCAACACACCAATTCAACTGGCTCTGCCCAGACAACCAGCAGTCAATCGGCTCCATACCACCAAAATGAGCCTCGTACTCCCTATGGTCCGAGATACCAACACCCTGGCAACTCTTCCCGGGAGAGCAGCGTTTCATCGCTTGCCCACAGGTTCGGAAGCATGAACCTGCAGAACTCTCGTCCGAAGTATGGTGGCCAAAATAGTGCTGCGCCCGTGCAGGTCAATACAAACATGGACTGGTCGAATGCTGGCCGTGCTTACAACAGCCCATTTATCCTTGTTCCCAACTCTACCATGTTCAATGGCGTTCCAGCCGTCTCTTCCTTTGTTCCCAATGGCGTCGCTGGTCAAGCAGATCAGGTGGGCCAATTCCCTTACACTGCTGGCATGTATCCAAACATGGGACCTGTGGTTCCTGGTGGGTACTCGTGGCCCTACATGATGAACTACGACATGCAGGACGCCAACAAGCAAGCTACATGGACTGATGGTCAGAAGGGAGCTCAAACGGAGAACACCGGTCAAATCCAGTACTTCCCTTCGAACTACGTTCCCACCATGGACCCTTCCATGTCTGGATACTCCTATGGAAACATGATGCCACAGATGGGATCAATTGCACTTCCCCTTCAGATGATGAAGACACCCAACGGGTACGTTATCCAAGACCTGGAGGCCCTGACCCAGCAAGATCCCCCAATTCCTCGCGCAGTGCCTGCTATGTGGACCAACCCATCTGAGTTGACACTTGCCAAATGCCTGGAGAACCGCGAGGGCATTACCAATGTCTACATCCGTGGGTTCCTGCCCGAGACCTCGGATGAGATGCTGCATGCCTATGCAGCTCGGTTTGGAAAAATTGAACGTTGCAAGGCCATTGTTGACCTGGACACCAGTTTCTGCAAAGGGTATGGCGCCCAGAAGATCCCCGTTATGAATCATGCTGACTTGACCTAGATTTGGGTTCGTTCAATACTACAGTTTCGAGTCCTGCGAGAACTGCATTCGCGGTTTCTTCTATCTTGGCTACCAAGCTAGCTTTGCCCAGAAGTCTCGCAACTCTCGTCTCAAAGACCTGGAGGATCGGTCTTCTACCAACATCTACTGCACGAACATCCCGATTGACTGGACCGAAGCTGTAAGTGAAGGAATCTTTGCAGCCAGCCTGTGTGGATATTAACCTTGACCAGGACTTGCGACGTCATTTCGAGCCATGGCGCGTTGTCTCCGAGAAGATCAGTCGCGATGAGAAGACTGGTGTGAGCAAGGAAGTGGGCTTTGCACGGTAACGAAACATTCTTTGGTTTGCATGCTTCTCCATACTAATCTCTTGGCTATAGTTTCGAGAACCGCGATGTTGCCGAGAAGGTGCTGATGGAGTTCCACAACGTCACAAAGGATCATGGTGTCAAGCTGCTATTGCGCTTCGCCGATACCAAGGCTCAGAAGATTCTGAAGCAACAGAGCAACGAGCGTCGAGCTTACCGCGCCGGCGAGTATAACTACTCCGTTGAGGTGGTTCAAGGCTCTACTCCATCCCCTTCGATGCAACGTGGCCCTCTTCTTACCCCTAACTCTCAAGTGAGCTACACTTCTCCAGCTGGAGTGGACTCCAACTGGACACCAGCCACTTCGATTTCTCCTTGGTATGTCTCCCGATCCCCAACATGATGCTGCATCAGAATATACTGACCAAGATTACAGCCACCCGCTCATGAAGAATCCATCCAGCTCCCTGTCCACTCGGAGCCTCAATGCCCTTGACAACACGCCCGCATACCGCGGCCGCGGCTTCTCCAAGGGCCGTCACTCAATAGCTGATCTCTCCGGGGGTTCCTCCAAGACTGTTATGCCTGAATCCCCAGAAATAGAGCCTTTGATCTACATGTCGACCCCCCCTCGCAAGGAGAACGTCAGGGCAGAATCCATGTCGCCCATGCCTTCTCGCATGGAGGTTTGTGTTTCTCCAGCCCGCTCATGCACTTAGCTGCATGTATTCAGCGCTCTTGCATATTTATTTGTCTGGGTTGCTTTATGGAATCTTAACAGCCGGTAAGATTGCCCAGTGTTCCTCTCGAATGCTCTTCAATATTCAACATTCGTGGCATGTTTTACCATTCGCAGAATGTACGACGATGTATCTCTCAGCCTGACGTCTTTTCTTTCTACTGTTTTCGTTTCATGATATGGATGGGTCTCGGTTTCTGTTTCTTACTTTTCACATTATTCTTACGGGTTCGACTGTATGCTTTATGGTGCTTGATGGAAGGATGTTGGGCTCGCGTTTTCGTTTCTTTTTCTTCTTCTGATTTTTCTATGTTTTCAGCTGTATGTACCAGGATGCATGTTTCGAGGCGTCGTTTCAATAAGGTTCAGACCAGAGGGGTTGCGCAGTCTAATATGATAGGATTCATGACCTAACATCACTGTCCTTGACTAAATTCCAAGGTGCGCGAGCACAACTGTAGAGTGCAATCTATGAGATCAAAGAGGGGAACCTTCTATACACAGGACGCACCAGCCCCAAATCAGGCTCAGAGTAAGACTCAATTCCTGCCAAGCCTCTCCTCCATATCCTCAGTAAGTTGATACGCAGGAAGATAATCCTTCTCCTGTCCATCAGCACCCTTCCTCAATCTCGGATTGGGATGCGTATCAGACGTCCCACCTAGACTAGTATATCCCTCATCATAAAGCGAACAATACCGCAAATCAAGATGCCGAATAAATGCCCAGATCTCCGCATAATGCCAATCAATCACGGGATGCACCCGCACAAAATCAGGCCATCCTCCATCCGTCCGATCAAAATGCGTCAACTGCGCCCCATGCGGATCCGTCCGTCTCGTCCCAACAAAAATCGCCTTAATCCCAGGGTTCCGCGACAAGTAATCCTCAAAACTAGACCGCAGCGTCGTCGTCGGCGGCGCAGTCGTATATTTCATTATGGAGAGGTGATACGCTTTAGCAGAAGTAACGACAAAATCTTCAACCGCATCGAACGGGTCAGGCGGGAGCGCGTAGATACACGGGATGGAAGTTGCAGCGGCGATCTGGGCCTCGGCTTCTGCGAGCGCCTGTGCTGAGAGGGATGATGGTTCGGTTTCCTCGGAGGAAGAAGTGCTATTGATGTTGGTGTTATTGGCGGATGGGTGCAGACCAGCCAGGAATATGATTAGAAGGACCAGGCAGTCCTTGCCGCCGTTGTAGGAGACCGACAGTTCCGAGAGTTTGTAGCGCTTTAGGGCTGTGGCGACGACGTCTAGGGAGATGCGGGTTTGGCGCTGGACTGAGGCTAGGAGGGAGTCTTTCGGGTGGGATTCGGCTAGAAAGGCTTGCACGCGGGCGTGGATGCGGGCGACGACTGTTGGGAGGGGTGGAAGGTTGTTGTCGTCATTTGAGCTGTGGGAGGAGTTTGGTTCGCCGCAATGTGTTGTTCCATTCTCGGTTTGTGTTGATATTTTGCTGGATGGCTTCAATTGATCGGTTCCTGCTGTGCTTGTGCTTGTGCTCGGGACTGGTGGGAATGGCGCGAGGTGGTCTTCTGGCCGTTGTGGCCGTGTGGTTGCGGCTCGCACTGGAACGGGTTCGGCCATGTTCAGGGACGATAGGCGAGAGGGTCGAGGGTGGGATTTTCGACAATGGCTTAGTTCTGGAAATTCCACATCTGCATGTTATGTTTGCGGAGACAGGGTTTGGATATATACAAGATGTATGAAAGAGTGAGGTTCGGGACCCCACGTCCCCGCAGCTTATCTGTGGAACTCGGTAGATTCTCGTGGACATGTGTCTCGGCTACTTATATACTACGAGGTCAACTTGGAGATACTGAACATGTTTGGAATGCTTGAAATGCTCGATATGCTTAAATTGCAATTGCCGTGTTACTCGTGTGGTGTACATCCAGAAACGCCAGTACCGCTCTGCGAAAAAAAAAGAGACAGAACAACGTAGAGAAAACAATCATCCTAATACCTTCATCTTCTTCTTTTTCTTCTTCTCATCGCCGCCCTTGCGTCCCTTCTGCCAGTCGCGCCAGCTCCCAATGCGCTCGTCCCGAGTATCCTCCCACTTCTTTTCATGATCGCGCTTCCGCTTCCGCGCCTCGATCTCCTCATCCTCCTTGCGCTGCTCGCGACCTTCCTCCTGCATGCGCGCCTTGATCTGTCGTCTCCGTCGCGCTTCTTCCTCCAGTAGAACAGTCACAGTCTTCTGCCGCCATTCCTTTTTAAACTGGTCCGTCTGGAGCTCCGGCGAATCGACTGTCCACTTGTGCTCGCGAATCAGGAGTCGTCGCGCGTCGGCAATGCATTCGTCTAGGTAAGTGCGCTGCTTCTCGTCCAGTAGGGCAGTTTGCGCTTTCTTGAGTTTGTCGAAGGCATCGGGCGCAGCGGGGTTCTTGGTTTTATCAGGGTGGATGAGGAGGGACTTCTTGCGGTATTGGATTTTGATGTCCTTCTCCGGTACACCAGGCTGGATGTCTAGGACAGCGTAGCTGTGGTCGTTAGTCTCGGCCTTTGGGTACAAATTGGGGGGGTGTACTTACGCATCGAGAGTGAATGCTTTGCAGATGCGGTCGATCTCGGCATCCTGAGCTGTTAGTCGCAGTACACGTGCATTGTCAAGAGAACTTACCTTCGCAAAGTCGGAGGCCTCACGCTCCAGCGAGTCAAAGATATCCTGGTCCTCGTCCGCCATGGTGAATTGTTGAAGCGAATGAGTCGAAAAGCCAAGGCCAAGGTGATAACGATAGCGACATTTTGGCCGGCAGATCATCTCTGATTCACCGCCTTTGCGTCTATACTGTACATACCTTTTACCTGTTTCTTGTGTGGCTCTTTTATGCTGCAGTGTTTAAACAGCAGATCATATTAGTGGAATATATCTCTATAAGATCTATATATCAAATAAATAGCTCATAATGTTCCGTGGTCTGCTTTCCGCAAAATGTGTGTAACGATGTATATGATATGTCTAATATACATTCCTGACACCAGCATGTTATGCGACGTGGATGTATGCTCTTGTATGTAAGATAGTGTCTAGTCGGCCAGACGCACGGCTTCCTTGAGGCGCCGTATTTTTCCTTCGCCAGCGTGGCAATTTGTCTATGACTATTTAACAACTGATGTTGAAACCCGCCTTTTCCTAGTTTTATAATTGGTAAACTTGATACATTATCATCGATATCATCATCATAGTATAAGCAAGATGACTAGTGTGACTAGCAGAAAATATGTGTTCACATCCAGTTCGTTACACAAGAGAGCCGCATGCTAGTGCGAGTTCATCTATCATTAGACCTCTCTTTAAATGAAAATGTAGTAGTATGATAGCTATAGACCCACCATAATAGAAGAATAAAGAGTACTGCAACCATTTAGTTCGTCGGTAGCCCTAGATTGTTCCACAATCGGTGACATGAAAATGGTGGTGTGTTATGGCATAAAGTACTTCTATTCATCGCATAGTAGCTCTGTAAGAAGTTGGTGCATAAGGAGCCAATATAGGAGGCGTTGTAGTTAGCTAGGTACTATCTCGCTAAGTTGTTAGCCACAGAGATATCTAACTGCTCCTAATGTTCAAGTGTGCGATTGAGCCGAAAGCTGCGAGCAACGATACAGTTTAACATATTTTGTCCAATAAAAGGCTGCGTAAGCGTAAATTCCGTCTAAGCATCGCTTTCAACCGCGCAATTTGTCGCATCCTAGGCATTAATTAGTAGCGGAGCGGAAAGCCTCTAGAGCAGATTAGCAAAGTTTATCGCAGAGAGTTGTAAAGAATATACATTAGTGGATACTGCGTCACGTATGATAGGATTAGAACGGCCCATATCCTAACGGCGAAAAGCATCGTTATCACGAATATTGCAGTAGACATGGCTACAATCCCGTATTGAATCAAATCGGAGCCGGGAAGTCCTAAGCAGCGTAGGTCTGCACTATAGGTGCTTTGCTGTTACCTATTTCCACACACTAGGGACTCGCTTTTATGTTTAGGCTGTATGCAGTTGCGTCGCCTGTCCTCGTGCAGCAGAAACGTGAAAACAAAGTTGGACACTTCGCTATCAGGGCTATTTATGTGGGTGGTTGTTGATCTTCTGTGTGGCCTAGAATCTGTCTAAAGGAATCCGTTTAAAAAAAAAACATTCTTCTGACTTAGGAGAGGAGTAAAAAGGAAGCGACAACTTTCTTGGTCTGAGTGACCGGTCTCAAAGTATGATATGATGAAGATTGGCGCAAAAAAATAAACATTGGCTACACACTGGACAAGAGCAACTATTTAATACAGCTGGAGGGCATAAGAGTAAGATTTGCGAAATGGAAACAAATGCTGGGGGCTGGTATTCGATGAACTTCATTAATGGCATAGGAGAAAGAATGGATGGTGTGGTCCGAGGAAGTAGACAATCTGGTCAATCAATGCTATGCGAACACTTATCTTTTGCCGCCAATTGGAACTACTTGGTCGTGCTTAAGATATTGCTAAGGGTTCTGGGGTGTAGAAAGAGCAATAAAATCAATAAACGCCTGTTTGCTTCATAGTGGGGTAGAGCGAACTGTTCATTTTGTCGAATCCACTTCACTCTCTCATCATTCCTTAATTGCATGTTTAACTTATTCTTCAAGTCTGTGCACGCATCAATTTGCTCCCTCCCCCTAGGGCTATAAATTTGAACGGCACCGGCCGTGGACTTGGAAGCCTAGGTTAATCAGAATTCAATGCCTTCAATGACTTATAACTTATATGTACATTCTCAGTGACAGTCGTTTCATTTTGAAGATAGCAAAAACATAAGCTACCCACCTCGACTTCAATATCATTACGCACTGAACAGATCCTTGTTCGTAGCCACCCACTTCTCAAAACTAGTAGAAGGTGCTCCAGTGTAAAGCTGCACATTCTGAACACCCTCTTCATAATAAGCACGCGGGACATTCGCATTCTCATCAGTTCCGAATCTCCGAATCATATACTCCGCTAGCGGCTTAGGCAGACCATGGCTAAGGTGCTGCTCCAAAGCCTCTTCAGCGTTAATAGGAGTAATCTTAACATTCTTGCCCAGAACCTTCGCAATAGTGTGAATGGCATCTGACATCGAGATGATCTGAGGACCGTAGACATAGACCTTTCGTTGTCCATTCTTTGGTCCCTGGGCAAGGATAGTTCCGCTGACACGACCCATGTCAATAGGTGTGACGCAATCGAGCTTGAAGTTCGGTGTATAAAGCTTGACCTCCCCAGCTGCAATGTCACTCTTGTTACGCAGCATGTTTGTGGCGAAGCCGCCAGGACGCACGGCGACGTAGTTCTCAGGCCCGAATATTTCGTCAAGGTTGATTTCCACCTGTGCGTGGATGTAAGGAATGATGTCACTTGGTTCAACGTCTTTGGCCTCGCCCGAGATGGTGTAGCTGCTCAGGAATACGACAAACTCGATGCCAGCGGATTTCAAAGCTTCAAGAGCGGACTTCATGTGGTCTGAAGAGCCGAAGGCGAGATAAATGAACGCGCGCTTGGCTCCGGATTTCTTGACGGCCGCAGCGACGGAATCGGCGTCTGTCAAATCGGCTTGAATCCTTTCGAAACCCCCAGCTTGCTCCTGCTCCGAGCCCAGACCCGGAATGGTCTTCTTCGGATCGCGCATGGCTAGGACAACCTTAGCTCCATGCTCTTGGGCAGTGCGGGCTGCGACGGAGCCGATGTTGCCGGTTGGCCCAAATACAATGACGGTCGACATATTGTAGAATTCAGAATTGAATGTCAATCTTCTTGATAAAATGAAAGATGTTATTTTACTTTGGACAGTGGCTGCTTTTATAAGTGGGAGATGAAATGATTGTCTCGTCCGTCTTACTTCGGGCTTTAGCTAACTCCGTGCGGCGGAGTCCACATTGCTCCGCTGGAAACGGGTAGCCCGTTAAGCATCCCCCAGGACTTTGTATCTAGCGATTCTCGACCCAGATATCCCCTTCATCCATTCTCTCCTCCACTTGCGCCTACCGAACCCGCACAAGCTGCACTTGGGTATAACCATATTCAATAATCAGCCCCCAGCATTTTCCATTGGAATATCCTAGTTCTCCGCTTTCCCGTCACTTATTGAGCAGGGTATAGTGCCCCAGTTCTCAGATTGGTCCGGGCAACCCGCCGTGCTCTCTATCTGGACTGTAAATCTTACGGTGGATCAAACTTTAGACCTGAGCCCCCCGTGTGTTCATCTGCTTGTGGAAACAAGCAAAGCGATCCTATTTGCCTAATGAATGACTCAGTCAATTGTTACTTTACGTATGAAAATATCCATAGCAACTGCCACGGGCCTAGAATGTCAGATCAATGACGCTTTCGACCCTCGAAAGCGACGGCTGCTCCTCTTTTGCCTTGTCCCCGCCAAAGCCAGCCCAAACCTTCTTGGCCACAGGAGGGCAAGGCTCTACACTCAGGTGCAGACTGTGCAGTTCGTTTGGGCTCAATGAGCCTTGTTCTTCATAGGTTCGACGCCCTTTGCTAAAGATCAGATGTAGAAATGATACACAGCAGTACTAGCTGGTGGGGGGTGTCTGAAGGAGATCAGTATTAGTATATGCTCACTCCTGTAGTCAGATAATGCACTCCTACAAGTGTATTTTGAACATACCTCATTCTCTAGCTCATTTTCTAGTCCATTTTCTGGCTCATTGTCTAACGGATAATCTCGTATATCCTCTAGGGATCTGCCAAAATGCATGGGAGAGAGTGGAGTGGAGATTCGACGCCCATTCTACGGGGCCGGCCTTGAAGGTTTGGGACTCCACCGGGTGGACCTTATCAGCTGCTGAGTCAGCTCAGAAAAAAAAAAGCTATTGTCACCGCCCGCGACATTTTCAAGACTCACCACAACAGCATCATGGCGCCACGGACAGTGAAAGGCAAGAAGCCTCAAGTCTCGGGGAGGACCCTGAAGCGCAAGCGTGGGGAAGACGAGATCTCATCCCTCGTCAAGCGAGTCGAAGAGCTCGACCTCAAAGCCGCCATCAAATCCTTCTCCGATCTTCCACTCTCCGAACCAACAGCCGCTGGACTGTCAGCCTCTCATTTCAAAACCCTCACAGACATCCAGTCCCGTGCCATCAGCCATGCGCTCAAGGGGCGCGATATCCTCGGTGCCGCTAAGACCGGTAGCGGAAAGACCCTCGCCTTCCTCGTCCCCATCCTCGAGAACCTCTATCGCAGGCAATGGACCGAATTGGACGGCCTCGGTGCCCTTATTTTGTCGCCGACCCGCGAGTTGGCAATTCAGATCTTCGAAGTGTTGCGCAAAGTCGGACGTAATCACGCTTTCTCGGCCGGTCTGATCATTGGTGGAAAGAGTCTGCGCGAGGAACAGGACCGATTGGGACGCATGAATATTTTGGTTTGCACGCCCGGTCGGATGCTGCAACATTTGGATCAGACTGCCATGTTTGAGACGAATAACCTGCAGATGCTGGTGCTGGACGAAGCCGATCGTATCATGGACATGGGTTTCCAGAAGACCGTGGATGCGATTATCGACCATCTCCCGACCAAGCGCCAGACCATGTTGTTCAGTGCTACACAGACCAAGAAGGTTGGTGATTTGGCCCGTCTGAGTTTGCAGGAGCCCGAGTACGTCTCGGTTCACGAATCTGCTGCCGCTGCCACTCCGTCGACTCTCCAGCAACACTACACCATTACTCCTCTGCCACAGAAACTGGATACCCTCTGGAGTTTCATTCGCAGCAACCTCAAATCCAAAACCGTGGTGTTTTTGTCCTCTGGAAAGCAAGTTCGTTACGTCTACGAGGCCTTGCGACACCTGCAGCCTGGTATTTCTCTGATGCACTTGCACGGGCGACAGAAGCAAGGCGGTCGATTGGATATTACTACCAAGTTTTCCCAGGCTCAGCACGCAGTCCTCTTCGCTACTGATGTTGCTGCGCGTGGTTTGGATTTCCCCGCAGTTGACTGGGTCATCCAAATGGACTGCCCCGAAGATGCCGATACCTACATTCATCGTGTCGGACGGACAGCCCGGTACGAGCGTATCGGCCGTGCTGTATTGTTCCTGGATCCCAGTGAAGAGAAGGGCTTCCTCAAGCAGCTTGAGCACAAGAAGGTGCCGATCGAGAAGATCAACACCAAGGCAAACAAGCAGCAGAGTGTCAAGAACCAGCTGCAAAACATGTGTTTCAAGGACCCAGAGCTGAAGTATCTGGGTCAGAAGGCTTTCATCTCCTACGTCAAGTCGATCTACGTGCAAAAGGACAAGGAGACCTTCAAGATCAAAGAGCTCCCCTTGGAAGAATACGCAGGTAGCTTGGGTCTTCCTGGTGCTCCCCGTATCAAATTCATCAAGGGTGACGATGCGAAGGAGCGCAAGAACGAATCTTGGAAAATGGCACACATGTCCGACGACTCAGACGCCGAAGGAAAGAAGGATCAGAAGGAAGAGGTACGCACACGCTACGACCGTATGTTCGAGCGACGAAACCAGGGCGTCCTGGCGGACCACTACTCTAAACTTATCAACGACGACGGTACCATGGTGGCCACTGGCGCGCCCAAGGACGAGGCTGCCGACGAAGAGGCCGACGAGGATGCCGATTTCCTCTCCGTCAAGCGCCGCTTTGCTGCAGGCGACGAAAACCTCGGTCAAGGTGCTTCCTCCGACACCGACGAGTCCGAGACCGAGGAGATCCCCAAGGGCGCCAAGGTGGTGCATCTGGACGGCCAGGACCCACTGGTCATCGACTCCAAGCGCCGCGAGAAGCTACTCAAATCCAAGAAGAAAATGCTCAAGTTCAAGGGCAAGGGTACGAAGCTGGTCTACGACGACGAGGGCAACGCCCACGAGGTCTACGAGATGGAAGACGAGGAACAGTTCAAGGCTCGCGGCGACGCCAAGACCCAGCGCGAGAAGTTCCTCGCTGGCGAGACGGAGCGTACCCGCCAAGCCGATATCGAGGACAAGGAAGTCATGCGCGAGAAGCGTCGCGAGAAGAAGGAGAAGCGCAAGGCCCGGGAGCGTGCCGAAGCCGAAGCCGAGGCTGCGTCGGACGACGAGGAAGGCGGTGTCAGCCTCTCGCATCTCCCTCACGTTCCCTTCGAGATTCCCGGCGACTCAGATTCTGGCTCTGCTTCCGAGGACGAGAAGCCCCGTCCCAGCAAGAAGCAGCGTGTCTCTTTTGCCGAGCCGGACAGCGACAGCGACAAGCCGGCCAAGAAGAGCAAGAAGAGTCAGGAACCCAAGTCCATCGAGACTTTGGGAGATCTGGAGGCTTTGGCCAGTGGTCTTTTGGGTTGAGTGCATTATTTCAAGGTTTTCCGTGGCGTATAAAAATGTTATGGGTGTCAAAAGCATGTATGCATAAGTACATATGAATATGAAGCGAGTAATTTTCCTCTACAGGGCTCAGTGGAAGTATCTAGCTATGGGTATCGTCAAGAAGTAAAGATGAAGCTAAAGTATCAAAAGTATAGAATTTGCCGACGTTTGCCGGGGTAGGTGGAGACCGAGTTTTCATGACACACAAGTATGCAACCCCTGTCGTCCACTCATCACAGGCCTCAATCACGCCATCGCGAGAATTCAGTCTGGAGTGCAGGATCAGCATGTTCTTCCTCTCCCCATATCTCTGTTTCACTCGGATATCTGGGGAAACGGGTGGTTGATATCGTTTGAGCTGTCAAAAACGCCAAGTTTCAAAGTGGGCGCCACATGCCACGTGCGGATCACGAGACTTAGGGCTAAATCGATCTATACAAAAGTGAGTGAGATCGGATATCGACTGCCTTGCCCTTCTATTCAGCATCAAGTGCCTTTAAATGGATACTAACACAATGACAGACCATATATACACAAACACACCACATTCACGATGGCCGACATCGAGAAACAGCCTCACGGAGAACCCTCCAAGGCCCCCGGCTTAACAGCCGAAGATGTCCTCCCAAACCCAATGGTCAACGCCGACAAGCTCGCCCGCCGCCTGTCCGGACGACAGGTGCAGATGATCGCCATCGGCGGAACGATCGGCACAGGCCTGTTTCTCGGAACTGGCGAGTCCCTCGCCAAGGGCGGGCCTGCGTCGATGCTTCTTGCTTATGCCATCTGTGGTGGTATTGTCTTTGTCACCATGCTTTGTCTGGGTGAGATGGCTGCGTTTATGCCCGTGGCCGGATCGTTCTGTACTTATGCTGGGTGAGTACCTTTCGCTCTGATCAGATGGGGTTGGTTGCTGACTTGCTTTTACTTTTAGTCGCTTTGTTGATGATGCGCTTGGTTTTGCCTTGACTTGGAATTATTGGTTTAATGATGCTGTCTCTACGGCTTCTGATATCATTGCTTTGCAGCTGTTGTTGCAGTATTGGACTGATAATTTCCCTGGGTGGGCGATTAGTTTGATCTTTTTGGTAGTCGTCATAGCCTTGAATATTCTGTCCGTCAAGGTTTATGGTGAGGTGTGTTTTGTTGCTGTCGTTTACTTACCGTGCGTTGGATCTAACCGTTCTGTCTAGGTTGAATACTGGTTGAGTTTACTCAAAGTTATCACCATCATCATCTTCATCATCCTTGGCATCGCGGTAAACTGCGGTGGAAACACAGATCATCAATATATCGGTGGCAAAAATTGGCATATAGGAGATGCGCCTTTCGTTGACGGTATCGGTGGCTTTGCGTCAGTATTCGTGACAGCCTCGTTCGCCTACGGCGGAACCGAATCAATCGCCATCACAGCCGGAGAAACCAAAAGCCCAGCAAAGACCATGCCAAAGGTCGTCCGCAACGTCTTCTGGCGTATCGTTCTCTTCTACCTTCTTTCAATCCTAATCGTCGGCCTCAACGTCCCCTACACATACAAGGGCCTCTCCGAAGGCGATACAAAGACAAGCCCCTTCACAATCGTTTTTCAACAAGCCGGCTCCACAGTCGCAGGCAGCTTCATCAACGCCGTGATAATGACATCCGTAATTTCGGCCGCAAACCACGCCCTCTTCGCCGGATCCCGTCTCCTCTTCACCCTCGCCGTGGACGGCTACGCGCCCCGCTTCTTCGGCCACCTCAACCGCTTCCATGTCCCCTGGGTAGCAGTCCTCGCCACATCCGTCATCAGCGGTCTCTGCTTTGGAGCTAGCTATATCGGCGCCGGCAAGCTATGGTCCTGGCTGCAGAACATCGTCGGAGTCTCGAACCAGCTTTCCTGGATTTGTATCGGTCTCGCATCACTGCGGTTCCGGGCTGCTGTTCGTGCGCAGGGAATCGAGCACCTCCTCCCCTTTAAGAACTGGACCTATCCATATGGACCCATTTTCGCTGTTGGGTTGAATATTGTTCTAGTTCTAGTTCAGGGGTGGAAGTGTTTCAGTCCGCATTTCAAGGATGTGGATTTCGTCTCGTACTATATCGAGATTCCTATTATGATTGTTATGTTCCTTGCTTGGAAATTGGTTAAGAGGACGCACTTTGTGAGGAAGTCTGAGATGGATCTCCGTACTGATCGTTATGACCCTACCCAGGAGGAGGGTTATGATGAGCGGGAGGGTCAGATTACGGAGAAGAAAAAGGGTCTTTGGGCCAAGGCTCAGCGGTTTGGTCAGTGGGTGTTTTTCTAGGTCTTTTCTAAATAATTGGTTTGGTTCTATGATACTCCACTACATACATTGGTCATATGCACATACAATTAATTGCATAGCTTATTGCATGTTCATTCTGGATTCTAAGTTCACTAGCTGCGCGTATGCCGGTAGACAGCCTGCTGGGTCTAGAATCATGAGGGGATAATAAGATTCAGCCACTACTAATTTGGTGTCAAGGCCCTTGCGCACGAGGGTGCTGTTGAGTAGAACAGTGTTAACTTGCTAAAAGACTAAGTCGAGGGCTCCATCTCGAGAACTGAGTACATATATCACGATCTACAGGAATACCTAGATTAGTGTTGAAAATGGAAATCTAACCCACATCTTTATATTGTGTGTAGATCTGATATCATTACGGTACTCAGTAACCCCAAGCCAATAGATCCAGTCCCGAAAGCTGTCACGTGGAAGGGCAGAGGACTGCCCTCACGATCCATGCAACTATAATCATGGTTTACTTCGAGTAGCAGGATATGCTACGAGCAGTAAACTCTGTATCGAGCTGTTTGCCGGGGGCCATTATTTCGAGCTCCTGTCCTTTGTCGTCGCAAGCCGCATCCCTACGATGATAGTTAACAAAACATGCCTGTGAGTTGGTAGGGCATATAAAGCAATTTCAATAAAAAAACTTACGACACAACGCATCGCGGAGCTTGAAACTCAATAGCGAGAAATGGGCTGTAATTGTCAGATCTGAAATCTTTCTCTATTATTACACAGAATACTTACTCCTCGCCCACGTCTACACAGCCAGTGTCTATTCCAACGAAGAGTGCTATGTAACTGTGCGGTTTTTGGAATACCACCTAGACAGTTACTGTCTCAGTTCTCTTGGATGATACCCTAGGTTGGGCTGTGGCTTACTTGAGTGCCCTTAATTTCTGTCGTTGCTAGAGCAAGACCTAAGAGCACACTTGCGGCGGGAAAATAACAAGAGAGTTGCATGCTTGCGAAGAATGTGAAAAGGTGACTAGAGTGAAGAAATGCGCGTTAAGCAAGATTGTGCAGAGCGAAAGGGCATTTTATATGAATGGGGGGCATTGAAGGACTATCTTTTCCGATCTTCTTGCTTAGTTGTTTGTCCCCCTTTTGAGACTAAATATCTGGCACCTCCTAGATCATGGAATTCTCTCCCTTATACATACAATAAGCAGCGACCCCTTTATTTCATTTTCGAAGCTAACTGGGCAGAAAGAGCCGGCATTATGGAAAATGGCGATCGTTACATCCCGCTATTCACCCCTTGCAGATGACTATATATGCAATGTAACTATGCGTCCCTACGTATATTTAGATACGTACATTGTATTGGGCAATCTGGGTCTCGAAAAGTGGACTACGGCACCTGCTTTTACTTTTGACAGTTTAACCGTCCTTTCTTTTCTTACTTTCTACCCGATTTCACCTTTCGTGTCTTTTCCGCTTATGCAATTTGCAAGCGGACATTGGAACGCCTATCTGGCTTTACATATTTTCTAGAGCATCAAAAATGGGAGTTACGTATCAGATGATGGGTGAAAAATGAGCCAAGCACCGGTATTGGGATACAGTGTTTCCCACTCTCCGATGATCAACACAAAATAGTTACACAATGGAGTACTACTACGGTAGCAAACATACTTGGGTACAAAGCGTAACGACTAGGTATTGTGGGGAGATTAAGTTAACATCGGGTAAGAAACAACGCTTTAATAAAAAAAGGAATGGGGAAGGAGTAGAAACAGATAAGTAGGTAGAAGCTTCTTACGATTCTGTCTTACTAAGGAATGATTTTGTGAGCTCCGGTCTAATGTAAAAGAGAAGTTGTGGACATCCACTATTTTGATCCCGGATCAATAGCAGTTGGAAGTCGTGGTGGTATGAGCGCTCTAGGACGACTACCGGTGATATACGAATCTTAGATGTGTGCTAGACAACTGCCTGGCTATATAACAGGTCCTGGAATATTTTATCTTGCAATAACAAACTTGACCATGAGGAATGTTCATGAAACTATAATCATACCAGGCACCTCACTTAGGCCCGTCGTATAAGAAAGCTCGATTTCAGGGTTTTCCTGAAACATATAGGGACCAAGTCCCCCTCTTAATTTCTCTTAACCTCTCCCGCTCAGCCTTTTTCTCGCTTATCCCCCTAAACTCTCGACTCTCCTAAACTTGCGGTTCGTTCCTCCACAGCGCCGCCATCCTCAGTGACAGTCGACCGTCACTTAAGCGACCTCGTTCGGTAGGATAGATACATCTCTAGCACGCCTATTGAACTTATGCCTAGGGAACGATGATCGTGCCTTCTTTGACATAAGAAATTAAGGTTCTGCGGCGGGCTCCTGGCTCACAGGCTAGAATGGATTGTTCGCTCCAGCGTAGGCATGGACGATCATCTGTCTTGCGGACGGGTAGTCGATTGTCTTTTCTTGACGCATGTGGAAGAGAATGATTGAGGTCTTCTGCTGGTCCGTCAGGCCAGAAACAACCTTCCATCCGAAGTACGGTTTCTGAGGTCCGTATTGCGCATGAAAGTCATCGGCTCTCTCGAGGTAAGTAGTGATCTTTTCATCTCGACCCTGTTTTGTGGCATCGTACAATTCTTCCATACGAGCGATGGATGCGAACTGAGACTCTTCCGGAAGGGCAAATCCTGTCAGACAAGCATTCTTCAGAAGGTCCCAGTCCTGTTTGACCGATCTGTCGAGCCGAATGTACCACGCCTCAGCTCGCCCTCTGATCCCTTGCCTGAACAGCAACCGAGAAACTTGCTGCATTTCGTTGTAGATTTCTCGCTGTTCCTCTGAAAGTGTTTCTGGCTTTTGGACCCTTTTCAGCGCTGGATTTGCTGCGATCTGGCTAGCATAATCTCGGCGAGTTGCGATCTCTATGTCTTCAATGAAATCCCTGGGATCTTCATATCCATCACGATGACCGTGGAACGGCCGGACCTCGAAAAAAGCGGGCATTTTGCTTGCTGGCTCTTGTGCTTAAGGTTTGTCGGATGGGGTATCGGATTTGTCGCCCACCGGTTCCTTCAATGAACTGGATGATGTGGCCTTTATTGATGGTGTCCTGGTATTTGAGAGAGCAGAATGACCATGTTGTTGGTTCTATGACCCGTACGCATGAGGACCCGAGTTTGGTCCCTCACAAAATCCCTCATTACAGGGGTATGACGTGCAAATAATTTGGTCAGCCATATGGCATCGGCCATATGGCTCCAGAACGGATTATTCTTCTCCAACCGAGCCCTTTATTCAAAGCCAGGCTACACAGCCTGGAGAATCTTAGTGATCTTTCTACTCCGCCAATATGGAGTTTGGTGCATCCTTGATGGTATCCCACCTCTGACTGAATGGCATCCACTTCACTTCTGGTATCATCACATGGTATATATTGCTATTTAGTTGATATCGGCCAACCTGTCGGGAGAAGTTCAGGAAAACAGGTAATCCGAGTTTGTTCTGGGAAAACTGCGGCAAAACCTAGAGTTCCGGATTCTAAGTTCTTGGTATAGCTAACAGATGGCTTGTTTAACAAGCGTGTCGTGCCTGGTTTCGTTACGCATCGTCTCAAATCCTACCAGAATAATGTTGGAAATTTTACATCTCGATATTCTTTCAGGGACATGACTACTTTTTGTTACTTAAAGTGGCTTCAACATATATAGGTAAAGATTGTACAGCTGGTGCTACAATATGACGGAAACATGTCTAGAATATATAGTTACATCGCAAGGCAACAAAAGCAACATTTCTGCTGCTCAGCACTCAGGTGCAAATAAAGTGACTAGCAAAATGGATTCACGCTCTGCATATAATTAAAGGAAAGAACAAAGGGAATCATGACAAAGGGGAATCATCGAGATCAACTACCTTCCTGCCCAGCTCCAACTTTTTTGAGACAGGCAGAAAGACAGAAGTAACAAAACAAGACCAAGCCAAACCAAACTAATCAAAGCCGACATCTCGCTAATTTTGATGGAAGCGAGAATTGCACGCAGCAGACATAACAATGCGGATGGGATATCCAGTTACAAACCAACACAAAACGAAAACAAAAACAAAAACAAAACCCCGGGAATGAGAGGGACTTTTCATGTCCTGCATCTTGAAACAAGAAATGAGAAACGAGAACGATAATTCAAAATCCCAAAACTACCGTCGATAGATCAAATCGATGTCTCGCATCGATCAATGTCCCATTCATCATGGGACATAGCATAGCATATTATTAGTCCCCTGTAGACCCTGCTACAGGGAATAGAGTCAGGATAGAATTATACAATACAAGAAGGACACCAGCCTCCATATGGTATCGGGGATCAAGGTGCAAAAGCCAATAAAGAAAAGGGGGAAAAAGTCGATACGGGGGTTTCAGGACTCCGTATTAACCATTTACCATATCATCTAGCGCCATCTTGCGCCGTTTGACAGGTCTATTCTTTGCTCCCTCTGGTTCCGATGGGGGTGCTTCTGCCCGTGGCATTGACGGTGAAACACCTGCTGCCATTTGGATTGGGGATGGTAGCTCCACTGGGCCTAGATGTCGTGGTACGGGATCCATAGAGCTTGTGATGGACGTGGAGCGTTGGTGTGGATATGCGTGTGTATGTGTCTGTTGGTGTGGGAGGGAATAGTTGAATGTCGGGCCTGCGGATCTGTGAAGTGCGATGGGCCGTGGTTCGTAGAGGCTTTCGTCTCGTCCTGGAATGGCCCATGAGGTTGGATATGGATCGCTTAAACGATGGACGTGGTGGGGAGGGGGAGGCGGTCCTGATCCTGCTGTTGCTTGGTGGATTGGGGGCAGTCGGACTGGGGATTCGATGTTGTAAGAGTCTCTTGGAGAGACTGTTTGTGGGACTCGGGGGTCACTAATTGATGGGCGGGTTGCGCTGTTTGGTGACTCTGTGTATGGGAGATAGGGGACTCCGACTGGCGGGGGTTGGTGTTGTGGGGGTGAAGTTGGTGGTGGTAATGCTGGTACGCCGTATGTTGGGAATCGTCGCTCCATGCCGGTCATTGTGCTGACTTTGAGTGCTGGGTTGAATCCGCCTGCCATGGGGAAATATGCCGGTGGATGGGTCGGAGCTGAATGGGCTTGTTCGGATGAAGAGAATGGTCGTCGACTCACGCCTGGGATGGGAGAGGGATCCATAGGCCGGGTTAGAGGGAATACCGAGGCAGACCAGCGGTGTGGCGTTCGTGCTGGGCTTGCATCCAGTCCTTGGAGATCGGTCATGGGTCTTAGTTCTCGTGAAGCAGTGTGCCGATGCATGACTGTCCGGCGAGTTTGTATGGCTGGTTGGGCCTCGGCTGGGATAGCTGGGTTCTCTAGATGCGTGGTATAAGACCGCAGTGACGAGTCCTCTGCTTTCAGCGGAGGCCTTCCTCGTTTCTTATGTGTGACATCCACACATGTCGACTGTTGGCTGTTAGTTAGGGTTTGGGTGCAATGGGTTTGGAACATACAGCTTTGCCAGCCAGGACACATCTTCGACATGGACGAGCTGAATCACATCCGAGATGCTTCTTCTTGCAATTGACACAGGCCGATGCTACATGGGCTTTGGTACGCCGGGTTGATTTCTGCGCCAGTGAGCGCGCTGCTGTTGGAGTAGTTTCTAGTGCCGGGAGTGGATATGGAGCCCCAGGGAGCCGGGGAGATCCCGAATATACCGGCCCCTGTTCATACGGCAGTCGTGGCAGTGGCTGGGGTACATGCGATACGTCTTGGGCAAGGACAGGTCCGGACCGATCTGTAGGATGTAAAGGCTTCTCTGCGGATGGCTCCGAGGGCTCCTCTGGAGGAGAGCCAGACATAGATTGACGGGGAAGAGGAGCCCGGGGGCTATGACCATTCGGAGACCAAGAACGATTCAACAGCCGCTCTGGGTCCGAGTTGAATCGGGGTCCGAACTGAGAGGTAGTGAGGCTCGGGGGGTGAAGCACGAGTGATTGCATCGGGCGTCGGGCAGGAAAAGAAATAGGCCCACGGGGCAGATGCTTCTTTTGTTTTTTCTCTTTTCTTTTTAGGTCCTGTGTCCCCGGATACTTCAAGGACCTATGAGTTCCGCTTGGGGCATCATATCTGATTGGGAAAAGAAGCAGCAGCGGTGTAGGAGGAAGGAGGGAAAAGGTCAATATGCGGTCGTCATCGAGCTTCAGGACCACTCGAGCTTATAATCAATGGGTAGAGAGATCCGCTATTGGAGGAGTCAGAAAATAGACTGCATCGATCAGCGGGAGATTTCCAGATCATGACAGCAGGGTTCTCATAGCGCATGTCTCCCACAGGGCAAGTTATTGCATGGCGGTCGATCATCGAGCTAGGATCAAGGGACCCCACGCCTTGCCTCTGTGTCTTGATCACACGTCCCACGTTCCCCTAGAGAAGAAACGGTGAACTATACCTGCAGCTCTCCCAAAGGAGCCGGATAACACCCCCACGGAGAGCTCCTGTGGTATTGTAGAGTCTTGGAGTACTCGAGTATTCCAGTACTCGTAGTACTAGATACGAAGGCGTTCAATAGTTACAGAATAAAGTGGGCGGGTCTATACATGGTCGGTGCCGCACTAGTTGATCTCCGATCGAATGGTCAACGGTATATCCCCTAAGTATTGAGTCAGTGAACGGGATCTCTCCCTCTGGGAAAGGGAGAAGTTCGTTCCAAACAAGAAATTAAATCAAATTCTCTATGCCAATCAGGGCCGGGGAAGCAAGGAAGATTTGCGGATCGACGTCGGCGCCCGCAGCCATTGCCAATAGTGTGGGCGGGGGACTATGCATTCCGTTTGACATGTACTTTTCCTTGTATTGATACAGGGTATTACTTCCCAATATATAGCATCCTATGTAACTATAACTTTAAGGAGGGGGCGCTTAATGGGGGTTGCAATCGGAGAATGTTCAATTATACAGAGTTGACTGTTCACCTGTAAATTAGGGCAAGGTGTGTTTCTGTGTTTCTTCGCCCCTCCGCTTTTTCATGCTCTTTCTTCTCAGAAGCTGGCCTGTTAGAGACTGAATAATAGAGCAAACTAATAATTTGGCATACTCCACTCCCTTCAAGCTTCTCTATTATTCTCCGACCCACCTGGGCAAATCCCGGCGTTTATGTCCCGGGCTAGGGGTTACGGTTACAGTCCGCAGATCAGATAGAAAGGTCTCACAGGGTAGGCACCAGTTTTGCTGCTGGGACTTTTTCCCATTTTATTTTCTTTTATTTCCTATTTATCTGGGAATAGTTTGCGAGGCAAATCATGCCGAAGCTAGTCTCGCAGTACTATACGGGCTGTGGTACCCACCGTTTATTGTTTGATGTGCAACCCCAACCATTGCTGTAAAGGAGAGAGGTCAAGGGGGGGAGAGGAATGCCTACTTTATTTTCCGGGGCACCCGGCAGATGTGGCTGCAGCCTTCTGCGCCTTTGGGCGATCACACTGCCCTCTGCGTGTGCGTAATGCTGATCATCCCTTGAGGAGGAGGAATCCAGACCCCTACAATATAAACAATATACCTTAGAACAGGGTATCAGGGGGAGATGGCCAGATCCTCGGGACAATAATCTAATATTCCTTAGGATCTAGGGAAAAGGGGTGTGGAACATACGGCACGCGGAGCAGCAAGGGGTCTGTCACCCCGTTCATGCAGGATTAAATAGTCTGTACGCTGGGTGAATGCCAATCACATTATTGCTACTCCTACCCCTCCTAGTCTAGTGCCAAACTAACTGTGAAAACCCGTTCATTAGTGGAGTACGGAACTATTTACACTTAGGCATTTAGGGTGTTCACGTCAGAATTCGCCGATAAGAGCGGAGAATATTCGGCGAGGAATTCTCCTAGTGTCAACGTTCTCATTTTAAAGGCCTCACATGCTCCGCAATCAAGTTATAGGCTAACTAGTTAGCTCCTAGTTGGCTTACTGGAGGGTCCGAGTGCCGGGATTGGGCCGTTATCACATCTTCGGGATCAGCTCAGGGCTCATTTAAACGTGATAGTCCGCATGGTGGTCCATTGGCTGCATTTACAACTTGCCTTCGTATCTTCCATGTGGTGAGCATAGTCAGTTCCTAAATCCCGGATCGATCAGACATAAAACATAAAAGACAAGACACAGTTGTGGTATCTCTGCAATATAGACATTTTATTCTACAAAATCCTCTCCAATAAACATGATCATCTTCTTCCCTTCTTTGTCGGCCGGGCATTCTTATCGCGACGCTGTTGCTTCTGCTTACGCGCCTTGCGAATATCATCCGTAGACCGAATCTCGCTCTTTCCACCGTATGCCGCACCGCCCATCTTGTCGAATTGGCGTTCGCGCGCAGCCTCATTCTTCTTCTTCATCTTGTCGTAGTCACCACGCAGAGGATCAGCACGCTTAGGCGCACGGTCCTGGTTGTGACGGAAGCGGCCGGTGGCGTGACGAGAGTTGACCTGGGACATGCTGCCAGGCTTCTCAGCCTCGCCAACGCGGGGCAGGCGGTCGGCCCGCTTGCCCTTTTGCCAGGCCTGGAAGCGACCGCTACGGAAGCTGGCCGCGATCTTGGCTCCACTCTCTCCGCGGACAAGGCGAGTTCCCTTGGATCCGTCCTCGTCGTTCTGGCGAGCAACATACTTCTTGTGTCGCTTGTCCCAGCGCATCATTGTACGGGGTTCCGCGAAACCGCGCTTGCCTTCGTCGCCGTTCAGGTCCATGGTTGCGCTACGGGATTCGTGGGCGAAGTTGGAGTTGGTACCAGAGTGAACACCGTAAGCCTTGTCTTCCGCCATGTCGTTGTTGTTAGGCGTGTAGCCCATGAAGTAGTCGGGGTTCTGGAATGAGGCGAGAGGGTTCTTGGGTCCTTGGTCTGTGTTCTTTTTGTTGTAGGCGCCGAAAGTGACCTCGAGGTCGTCATCAGATGCCTCGGACATGTTCTCACCGGGTTGATCAGGCATGTCCTCATCCTCCATCTCCCCATTTTCGCCAGTCGGCATGCCGAGTGCGGAAAGCTCGGCCTCCGCTTTAGCATCGGCGCGCTTTCTCTTGGTCTCAACAGATGTACGAATTCGTCGGATGGTATCGACGGCAACGTTATCGTCGGTCTTTCCACCTCTGCGGTTGTTTGCCTCGAAGATGGTTTCCTGGGGCCGGTATCCACCAATGCGGGCTAGCATGTTCTCACGCTCGTTCTCCAGATCGCTTGTTTTATCGTTGAAGAGAGGGTGGATTGCAGCCCAGTTGTCTGAGGAGACGACCTCCTTGGCCCGCTTCGCACTTTCTGCAGAAGCCGAGTTACGGGTGCGCAGATAGAGCTTCTCTCCCTTTCCGGCAACTTGTCGCTGTCCGTAGATGTCGGTATCCTCATCCAGAACCTTGTTGACCCATTCACAATTGCGAGACAACGCATCACGAGACAATGTGCCCACAACTACGTCCTCGGCGAAGTTGACCTGAGTGCCATACTGACGGCCAACAACCAATCGACGTCCCAAGAACAGTTGAAGGTCCAGAAGGTAGGGGACATCGGCATCGCGAACGAGGCTGTAACTCCAACCCTTTTGACCAGCTCGAGCAGTACGACCGACACGGTGAATGAAGATCTTAGGCTGGGAGGGGAAGTCGTAGTTGATGACGTTGGCAAGGACGGGAATATCGATACCTCTGGCGGCAACGTCGGTTACGACTAGGATATTTGAGATACCCGATCGGAAGTTCTGAACTTGTTCCTTGCGAGCCGTCTGATCAAGCGAACCGTAAGCGTAGGAGGTCGCAAATCCTGCCTCGAGCAGAAGAGAGTAAAGGTAGTCGACGTGGTGCTTGGTGGCGGCGAACACAATAGTCGAGTGCTTGGTCGGGGACTCCTTGAAGCCGCTGGGCTTTCGCACGTCAGACCTCTTGCGCTTGCGGGTCGGGTTTAATCGTTCTTGCTCGAGCATGTGGCCAATTTCGGTCTGTCCGGTGGGCATTTGAATGACGTCGTGCAGAATGTGTAGAAGGGCACCCTCCTTGTCTGATGACTTGACTCCGAAGAATGCGTTTTGTAGATCAGGGGAAATCTTGTTTTCCGTATCCAGACGGATCAGACAGGGCTCTTGGAGACCAGCCCGGGCGAATTCCACAAGGGATTTGGGCAATGTAGCAGAAAATAGTAAAGTCTGACGGGTGGCAGCCAATCCGTGCATAATCTCGTTAAGCTGGGCTTCGAAACCCAATTCGAAAAGTCGATCAGCTTCATCGAAGACGACATACTTGATACTGGATAGATCAAGATCCATTTCAACCTTCAAGTGCAAGAATCGACCAGGTGTCGCAATAACAATATCGGGGTTGTTGGCCATCATCCCGAATTGATCCTCCAGACTGTCACCACCAACCAGGAGCACAGTCTTCAAATCCGTTCCACGTCCCATCTCCTTGACAACCTTCATAGTTTGCAAAGCCAGTTCACGAGACGGGGACATGATCAAAGCACGAGCACCGAACGCAGTGCTGTGGCTCTTCAATTTCTCAATCATGGGAATAACGAACGACGCAGTCTTTCCGGAACCAGTACGGGCCATACCCACGACATCCTTGTCATCCATAATAACGGGAATGGTCTTACGCTGAATCGGAGTAGGCACGGAAAATCCCTTCCGGGAAATGGCCTTGAGCAGGGTCATGTTAAGACCCATTGCCTGGAAACCACCACCCTTCTTCACAGTGCGACCCTTCAGACTTGATCCTTTTCGGTTAGCAGATGCTTGCTGGCCTGCAATGAAGGCTGCATCGCCATCATCGTCCGATCCGAGGAAATCGAGATCCTGCCGGGGAGCAGGCTTCTGCTTCTGTTGGC